CTAAGCTCATTTGACCATGGAATCCTTTTCTAAGGAACTTATTAACACCTGGAGGTGTTGTACTACTGAACATGCTTTTGGTCCATGTAATTAAAGAATGACTACATTTATATGATCTCGTAATTACTCTGAGTCTTTTTGGTTCGGTAGTTACATTTCATGACTTTTATAAAATGTTATGGTTTCTACAAAAAAGGCATGTGTATGCCCAGGATCAGAGTAAAGCCGCCCTGTGTTTCCTGAGCATGTTCTGCTTTTGAGAACCTGTAAAGGTCTCGTATGTTACCCTTATCTTACACCTTATTTAACCGTGAATTCCAGGGCTCGGTTAGGGGACATACTCTGCTCTGGAACTACTTAGGTTGTGGCCTGGCTCGCTCACAGCTGACATTGGTCTATCCCTGTCTGTGCTTCATGATTGCCCAGTGCTCAGACTCACTCTGGCACAGACAGATGGACAGACAGCATCTGGGTGTCATGGGTAGGCTCAGCTGTGGACCAGACATGCCAAAAATGAAACCATGGTGTTCTGTCTAGTCAAACTGGAGCTCCAGCATTGCTGAGTCGTTATCCCGTTCTTTATTGCCTGACCACTTGTGATCAGATGAGGGTTTGTTTTCCTGAGCCCTGAAGGCTAAGATGGAGAAGTGTGGGATGACAGTGTGGTTAAGTGGATTTGTAACTGATGCTGTGGCCATGCCCAGGGTGGGCTGCCTAATGGATCCATGTCAGCCTGTGGGGTGGGCTCCAGTGGTTTGCCACAGAGCTAGAGCCCTGTCTTTAGAACCATCCTGGTTATCTATTTTTTTTTTTTTTAATAATTAAGATGCAAAGGCCCACAGACCGTATTTTGCAGATAACTTATGGGGTAAGTGGCTAATGCAATGGATGACAGAATTGGGATTCACAGATTATTTGGGGAGGATAAAATGCCAGAGGGTGGGAGAGACATTGAGTTGGGGATTAAAATGAATTGAAAGTTTACAAAGTTAAGAATTTAGGTATAAAAAATAGTGTGGTAGAAGGATGGCGGGCTTTTTTTTTTTTTTCCAGTTTGTGTTTAAAAAGACCCTGAAGAATCATGAGGACCAAATTGAGGTTACTGTTGCGGGGAAGAGAATGTGAACGGTGAGAGATACGCAGGAGTTTTAAGCTGATTAGCAATCTTTTCTTTCTTCTGCAGGGTAGTGAGTTCATGGGTGTTTGTGACATTCTTCATACCTTTTCGTTTCCCTTTAATAAAACTGCAGAAGCTTTAGTGAACCATTATTTGAGTAGCCATGTTGATGGCTACACGTAAAGCAGAAAACCAGTGTCTGATAAGATCCTTCTGTACATGGCACTGCACAGCCCATATTTGAGGTGTTATTGAGTCCTGAGTACCACATTTGAAAAGGGACACTTTAGATGTACAAATGTTTTAGGGTGCATTGAGAAAGTGTTGGAATGGAAACTGTATGAAAAATAATGAAAGGAAATGGATAATATTTAGAGCAATGAAGAAATTACTCAGGGGAAATATGATCTCTGTCTTTAGCTATTTGAGGTACTGTCAGGTGGAAGAGCGAATAGATTTCTTCAAAAGGGCAAAATCAGGGCCATAGGTAGAATGAGTTTTCTAGACAGTGGAAGGAAACCCTTTCTAATATTCAGACTGCCTGTTGGTAGATGAGACTGATGCAGGAGGTCAGCTCTCTACTGGAAGCATTGCAGGATTGCCTGGGCCCCATTGGCCAGGGATGCAGTGGGGTGCCTTCTTGCAATGAGGAGATGCTCCGAATTGATCTCCAAGGCCCCTCTTGATTCGTCAGGTTCTAAACCACTGGAGACTGAGACAGCATGACACCCTCAGCATTAGAGTGTGACACTTAGGTTCAGAAAAATGACAGCGTTGTCACTTATTTAATGCCACGTGATCTAACTTCTGATGCTGTGAATTCCATGCGAAGCATCCATGCCTGTAGGGAAAGTGACTGAGGCCATGTGACTGCTTGTCACACATGGAGCTTGCGTGCACACATATATAGCAGAAGCGTAATTAAGGAGGCCAGAACTTTAATGTGTCATCAGTGTTAGGTTGGTCAGTATTACTTTGATACCCTTCTGGTTGAATAAGATATTGTAATGGTTATTTTTGGTGTAGTTTGCTTAAGATAGAAAGTCAAATTTTGAGACCGAGATAAACTGAGTTCCTAGATTCCCACTAGTTTTACTTTGTAAGTTTTAGCCTCTTTCTGTGTGACTTATGTCTTTTTTATACCTCTGTCCCTTCATTACTGCC